TATTTAAAGAGGGTAAACACAGTTAGTTACAATTACTAATCTTCCCTGAGGCCCTCATATACAATACATGTAAAAAATAATAATAAAAGAAAAAAAGCAAACATACAACATATTAACACAATCGTATAGTCATGATAGTTCAGTATACATGTACCATAATTAGAACATATAAAACAGTTACAGATTGCATGTAGTGAATAGATATTATATACAAATCAAAATCATACATTCTAAAAAAAGAGTAATAGTTGCAATCATTTCAAGACTGAATATTGGGACTGTCTCAAGTATTGTTTTATAATTTGTTTAAAAGAAAAAGTGTTTTGCACTTTACGCATTTCATATGGTAGTCCGTTCCATAAAACTGATCCAGAATAAGCAAAAGATTTTTTAAACAGTTCAGTTTTTGGCTTAGGAACTATCAAATTACCTTGAGTGACACCCCTTAAAGCATAAGGATTATTAACAGATATAAGTTGAAACTTTTGAAGTAGGTACTGTGGTGCTTCTTTCCGCATACATTTATGTAGCAGTAAATATTTGTGGTATTTGATTCTGTTTTCAACTGTCATCCATCCAAGTTCTTTAAATAAGGGGGCTGATGGGGATAAAGGGTCTGCATCAAGAATTAATCTTGCTGCTCTTTTTATACGACTGCAAAAAAATTTTTGTGGTCATATATTGGTATGACGTTGGCGTCGTCGTCGTCGTCCGAAGACACATTAGTTTTTCGCACTCTAACTTTAGTTAAAGTGAATGGATCTCTATGAAATTTTACCATAAGGTTCAATACCACAAAAGGAAGGTGGGGATTGATTTTGGGGGTTATGGTACCAACAGTTAAGGAATTAGGGGCCAAAAATAAGCATTTTTGTAACTTCCAGACATAACTTGTGTGTAAGTGTATGGATCTCTCTGACATTGTACCACAAGGTTCCATATCACAAAGGGAATGCTGGGATTGATTTTGGGGGTAATTGCCTCCAAATTTTAGGAATTAGGGGCCAAAAAGGGGCAAAAAACAAGCATTTTTCTAGTTTCCAGACAATAACTTGTGTGTAAGTGTATGGATCTCTCTGACATTGTATCACAAGGTTCCATATCACAAAGGGAATGCTGGGATTGATTTTGGGGGTAATTGCCTCCACATTTTAGGAATTAGGGGCCAAAAAGGGGCAAAAAACAAGCATTTTTCTAGTTTCATGACAATAACTTGTGTGTAAGTGTATGGATCTTTATGAAATTGTACTACAAGGTTCCATATCACAAAGGGAAAGCTGGGTTTGAGTTTGGGGGTAATTGCCCAAAAAGTTTAGGAATAAGGGGCCAAAAATAAGCATTTTTCTAGTTTCCAGACAATAACTTGTGTTCAAGTGTATGGATTTCTCTGAAATTGTACTGCAAGGTACCATACCACAAAGGGAAGGCTGGCATTGATTTTGGGGGTAATTCCCTCAAAATTTTAGGAATTAGGGGCCATAAAAGGGCAAAAAAACAAACATTTTTCTAGTTTCAGGACAATAACTTGTGTGTAAGTGTATGGATCTTTATGAAATTGTACTGCAAGGTTCCATATCACAAAGGGAAAGCTGGGTTTGAGTTTGGGGGTAATTGCCCTAAATGTTAAGGAATTTGGGGCCAAAAAGGGGCCAAAAACAAGCATTTTTCTAGTTTCCAGACAATAACTTGTGTTCAAGTGTATGGATCTCTTTGAAATTGTACTGCAAGGTACCATACCACAAAGGGAAGGCTGGGATTGAGTTTGGGGGTGATGAATCATAAGGGGGTTCAAAAATTTGGGGGGGGGGGGATTTTTTTTTCCTTTTTTTTTCTTTAAAATTTTCCATTTTAAATTGGTTATTTCTGATTTTTTATATATAAAAGCAAATAATAATGATATGGTTTGAATAGGTTAATTAAAAATTTTTAAGTTCTTAGACCACTTTCATTCTGTGTCAGAAACCTATGCTGTGTCAAATATTTAATTACAATCCAAATTCAGTGCTGTATCAAGCTTGAATGTTGTGTCCATACTTGCCCCAACTGTTCAGGGTTCGACCTCTGCGGCCGTATCAAGCTGCGCCCCAGCGGAGCATTTTATTGTAACTTCCAGACATAACTTGTGTGTTAGTGTATGGATCTCTCTGACATTGTACCACAAGGTTCCATATCACAAAGGGAATACTGGGATTGATTTTGGGGGTAATTGCCTCCAAATTTTAGGAATTAGGGACCAAAAAGGGGCAAAAAACAAGCATTTTTCTAGTTTCATGACAATAACTTGTGTGTAAGTGTATGGATCTTTATAAAATTGTACTACAAGGTTCCATATCACAAAGGGAAAGCTGGAATTGAGTTTGGGGTAATTGCCCAAAACGTTTAGGAATAAGGGGCCGAAAAGGGACAAAAAAATAAGCATTTTTCTAGTTTCCAGACAATAACTTGTGTTCAAGTGTATGGATCTCTCTGAAATTGTACTGCAAAGTACCATACCACAAAGGGAAGGCTGGGATTGAGTTTGGGGGTGATGGGGTTCAAAAATTTGGGGGGGGGATTTTTTTTTCCTCTTTGTTTCTTTAAAATTTTCCATTTTAAATTGGTTATTTCTGATTTTTTATATAAAAGCAAATAATAATGATATGGTTTGAATAGGTAAATTAAAATTTTTTAAGTTCTTAGACCACATTCATTCTGTGTCAGAAACCTATGCTTTGTCAAATATTTAATTACAATCCAAATTCAGTGCTGTATCAAGCTTGAATGTTGTGTCCATACTTGCCCCAACTGTTCAGGGTTCGACCTCTGCGGTCGTATCAAGCTGCGCCCCAGCGGAGCATTTTATTTGAAGTTTTAATATTCTTACCATCCCTTCATTTTTACATTCTCCCCAAACAATACAGCAGTAATCGATGAGCGGCAGAATATACCCATTATAGTATGCTTTCCTGCCATTAATATCTAAAAATTTCTTTAATTTAGAAAGAAGGTATATTCTTGATGAAATGCTAGCACAAATTTGATCAATTTGATTTGTCCAGCTAAGTGTGCTGTCAATTTTAACACCTAATAATTTTTCACATGATGAATTTTGTAGTGTTTCTGAATTTATTAGTAAATTTGGTTGAAAAGATTGAGTTGATAACTTCTGACTTGTTCCAGTAACCAAACATTTTGTTTTTTTGGTATTGATGAACATATTATTAATTTTGCACCATTCTTCAACTCTGCATAAATCTTCTTGTACATCATCATGTAAACTTTCTATGTTTTTCCCGGATTTATGGAGAGTAGTATCATCAGCATACAAGTCTGTTTTACAATTTTTAATGCAAAGGGGAAGGTCATTTATAAATAAGACAAATAATAGAGGACCTAGTATAGATCCTTGGGGGACACCAAATTCCACATCTTTTTTATCAGAATTAACATTGTAAATGTTTACTTGCTGTGTTCTATTACTTAGGTATGACCTAAAAAAACCTACTGCAGACTCACTGAATCCGTAAATAGCAAGCTTTAAGCAAAGAATGTCATGATCTACAAGATCAAATGCTTTTTTGAAGTCCAACAGTATTGCTAAGTTTAAATTACCATCATTCATTTCTTGCAGCCATTTGTCAATGATATCAATAAGTGCAGTTTGACAAGAATGATGTGGCCTGAAACCTGATTGTGTAGGATGTAAAAGTTTAAATTTAGACAAGTACTTGTACATGTTATTTGAGACATGCCTTTCTAATACTTTTGATAGAGATGGAAGAACAGATATTGGTCTGTAATTTGTTGCTAAAACCTTGTCACCATCTTTGTAAACTAATGTTACCATAGCATTTTTCAGTAATGAAGGATATATACCAGTATCTATCATTCTGTTGAATATATATGTGAGAGGAGTGGCAATATATGGGGCACTTATTTTAAGGATTTTGGGTCCAATATTATCAGTTCCTGATGATTTATTTACATCAAGTTTGGTTAACTCATCAAATAGCTCATTTATCTTTATTGGTGGTATGGTAAATTTCTCATGTTTTTGTTGTTTTAATTGATTATTAATGAATGTGCTAAGATTATTGAAATCTGCCTTGTCAACAGATGTAATATCTCTTTGCTCTCTTAGTTTTTCAGCACAGGAAGTAAAAAAGTTATAAGTATAAAAAGATGTACTTTGTAGGTCTAATAGAAATTCATTTTGGTCAAATTTTTTGAAATTCCTGTATGTGATTGTACTGTGTGTATTCTTTTTGTCTTTATTAACTTCTTTCCTTGTTAAACAAATAGGATAATGGTCACTAATTGCATATTTACAGACATGTGATTCCTGTACCTTATCTAGATTACTGACATAGATATGATCAATCAATGTACTAGTATCCTTTGTAACCCTTGTAGCATCTACAATCAATTGTTGAAGATTGAATGATTCTAAAACACTCAGCCATTTTTGAGGAGGTTTGCTTGGTGCTTTAAAGTTCATATTAAAATCACCCAATAATATTATATCTGAATTAATGGTCACTGCCATTCCTAGTTCTTTTTCAAAATCATCAATCCAGTCTATTGTTGACTTTGGCGGTCTGTACACAAAACATAGTAAAAATGATTTTTTATAATCTGGTTTTACTTCAAACCACATTGTTTCAATACCTCTTATTTCAATGTTGATTTGTCTTGAAAATTTTATTTTTTCAGAAAAATAAACAATCAAACCACCCCCACCCTGGGAAGTTCTGTCTTTTCTTTCAGATAAGTAACCAGGTATTTGTAATTCATTATCTGTAGTGTTTTTAGTTAAAAATGTTTCACACATGCCCACTACATCAGGTGGGTTTTTTGAAAACATAAGTGTGTGTTTGATTTCATCATATTTACTTTCAATCCTATTAACATTATGAGAACAAATCCTGATACCTTTAGATTTACTAAAACCATATGTATCAAAAATATTATCACCAGGATCTATTTGCTTCCTTGTCAATGCATGGTTTTCCAATTTGATTAGATCATGGAAGTAATATTGAAAGGAATAACTACAACGCCAGTTCAAAGGTTTCATCTGCGTTACCGCCCATCTTTCGATAACTCGTTAATTGGTTTAATATATGGCATGGTAATTGACTACTCGGCATGTGATAGATCAAATCACTGACACTTTCCGGTTATTGTCGTGTTCACGGAAATATACGAACAAACCGGATGTTGTCATAAATACTAAGGAAGTCAAAATTGTCTGAAGTTATCTTTAAAAACGATCAATAACGGTTTAAAAAAAACTATAGTTTGTAAAGATGGAGGACGTTCCCGATGAAATTTTTGATGACTTTGAAACTTCGGAAACTGAAACCGAAGTTTATTGCCATTGCAAATCAGATGTGGTGGCTGATATAATAGAATGTGAGGGTCCAGACTGTAAAATTAAGTTTTACCATATACGCTGTGTTGGATTAAATGTTTCAATAGATGACGGACCTTCAGATTGGGTGTGTTATGAGTGTCTTGGACATGACAAACCAATTGTAGTCTCGGGTATGTTAATTTTTACAAAAGTTTTTTTATTCTGTGCATACATGTGTGTCAGAATACATAATTGGCAAACACTTATTTTTTACATGTAGACATCAAAGACGAATAAATTGTAAAGTGTTTTATTCATTGTATAACATTGATACAGGAATCATAATTTTATATAATAGCCTGCTATCTCATTTATTAGTATCTAATACTTTTTTATGAATAATATAAGTTAAAATTTAGAATATTGACACACTCTAACATTGTTCTTTAAAACATACATGTTAAAATGTAAGTTGATATAAATTGACGGGATGACAACTATTAAATTGATAGGTTTTAATTTATTTATTACCCATAAAATATATGAAAATTTTATGGCAAATCAATATTTTGAGCATTTGTCAAAATGTTCAATTTTTTATGTTCGATTTGTTTTAATTTTCAGAAAAAGAAAAGAAGTCTTCCAAACAAATAAAAACTAAGTCCGGGAATACTGTAAAGGAATATGGTAAGCTGCTATAATATTGTCCAAAATAATGTTTTTTTACGGTACATTTTCATTTTGGGAAGAAGTGTTTAGGAAATGATTTTTGCCTTTTTTTACGTCATCGATGTGACTTTAATTGGACAGTAAAACCCTTCTTTTTGGCTTATCTAGATATTCATCCACATCTTGTAAAGTCTTAGTAGGTACTGGTAGTCCAAAATTTTTAGCCCTATACACTGTATATGGTTTACCGATAAAGCAGATCCTTCCTTTTGTATTCTTTGTCCGGAATATGCATGAAATATTTGCCACTGGACATAAAACTTATAAGATAATACATTTGCATGTATTATTGAAGAAAGGGATATTTTGTGTACATTGTGTACAAAATGTATGTTAATGAGACAACAACCCAAGGACAAAAATAATCATTGATATCTGGCAATATATAGTCTTTAACAATGGACACCTAGATTTCGTTTCTGTAGCAATGATTATCATTCTGACTTTTCAGCCTTTATCTATGCCAATTATTATTTATGTTTCTATTTTTCCAGCATTCACATTAGAGAAAGCTAAAGAAAGTGCCAAGACAGTTGTGCTTGATACTTTAAAAACTATAAGATCAGAGTCGTTTTGTAAACCCAATGACAAATTTAGCGATATGTTGACTGTAACTGTAGAAAAATTGGAAAACAGTAATGCAGCAAATGAAAATTGTGAAATGTTAATTCAGCATATTTGGCCATCTGTTATTGAAGGCGACAACAGTAAGCAGCTAATTTCAACACGACTTGAAAAAAAAGCTGCATCCTTCCATCAAATTAGAGGGTCTGCAGACATAAAATTGACATTTATAAGTTTTATGGACAACTTAGAAATTGAAAATTATTCAACCCGAATTTGTAAATTAGTATTGCAATTTCTTCTACAACAATTGTTTCAGGAACTTATGAAGAAACGACACCCTATTCCTTCAACATCAGGAGAAAAAACATCTGTTTTGACCATTACTGAATCTGAAGAACAGGCCTTAAGATTTACTGCAGGATATATATGTAGAAAGTTATCACGTCATTTCGCAAAATATCAAAAAAATCCTATGTGTGCACTGTGTTGGGACATTATTAAAAACTTTAAGATTTCTGAATCTGAAGTTGACACAAGAAATTTACTCTCCTATACAAAAGAATGGCTTATCCTTGTTAATAGGGGTGGACTTTTTTCTGTAAGTGATCCTGTCTACATATTTTTTAAAGAAATGGAAATCATTATTCGCTCAAATTTAAATAGAGCATCTTCAAGTCTGCATGTCACAAAGGATGAGCTCCACCAGCAGATTGAGGATAGTGAGTCAGTGAACCAGGCTTTTATGGAATTGATGACGCATACAGAGAGTGATGACATTAAATTATATCTTCTTAATAAATTTATTACATGCTGGGTGAATCTTAGACTGAAAGCATTTGCAAATGTATTCATGTATATTAAGAAAAAACAAGAGAATTCAATATCACGAAAATCACAAAAAAGTATGAGAAAAGAATTAAACAAGGAAAATTAAACAACCTCAAAATATTGTTGTACATTTTGTAGCTATATGAAATAAAATTAAGACCGATGTCTTATATGAATTATGTTATAAATTAAACACTCTTATAAAATATACATCAATGTCTGTTGTGTTTCCGTTTGCTTAATGGTGCTTCAATTCGCTGTGTGTTTTGTCTTGTCTGACAGTTTCCTCTTGTAGATGCCATTACTGCAGGAGCATTTGCAACTTGCAACTTTAATGCATTGCTTTGAAATTGCCTAACAGTAGGATTATCACAAAATCCTCCCATGCCCCTCTGCTTTGAAAAGTATTCCTCAAGTGGATCTTGGTTAAACTTCTCGCTCAACAGGAATCGAACATTTGGCAGCAGAAGCAGTTGCTTTCCCAACTCCACAAATGAGTTAACTGAAAAAGAAATGAGTAAAATTAATAATTTCACCTTGTTTATAGTGATTAGGTCAAAAAACATAACTAACCATAAAAACAGTCAAAATTTGTCTTAATCCTAGCACAATTATTCAGATAATATTTATCTGCAATGTAAAGGAATGATAAATTATTTGAAATAAACTTTTTTCCAAAATAAGAATTTACCCGTTATTCTCAGTCCTTCAAGGGTTTCCCTGCTAAGGCAAAGTTGTTTTTTTTCCTTTTTACTAAGATCTGCTTGATTTTCTCCTTCTTGCTCCCATCTGGCTAGAAACTTAAGGAAATCCTCCTGTAGCCACTGTTGCAAAAAAAAGTAATGCAAAACTTAATTCGCTAAGCAAGTTTTTTCATTAAAACAATTTTATAGATATGACTATACAAAATGTAGGTAAAATCTGATGAGACAACATTCAAAACTGAAAAAACAAAAAGCATGACAATAAGTATTTTTATCTTACGATAATTATGACATTAAGCCTTTAAAAGCTTCCTACCATATGCATGAGTTTTGTTTATTGTTGAAGAGATTCAGAGCCATATTACTGCATCCACAATGGATAGGTGGATCATTGCAAACCATACCACATCTCCTTATTTTCATTTGGATCCTGGGTACAATGTATGTACATGTATTCTTAAGTCTAATGATACATTTCAACTTCTTTGAAAGAGCTTTTAAGATCTCAGGGTCTACTAGTATATCACAAATCAAAAGAAAACTTAAATCTTTAATACTAAGAACATTTATACAAACCTTAAATCTCCAATCATTGATATCAGTGTATGGTGCACAAGTTGGTTTCCTCTGAAAGATGCCTGAATTGGTATTTGACACATTCAGGCAATCGAAAAATTTATCAAACATTCTTATGAAAAGTTGTGTTGACTCAGTTTCTGGGTTGCCTTTGAGCTGTAGGGCATTTGCAACGCTGGAGCTAAGAATCTGAAAAGAATTATAACAGAAATAAAACACAACTGAAATTAAAATATTGATATTTAAAAGACCATATGTATATAAAATAAATATAATTTTCCTTCCTATTCTGTATTTAAAAAAAGCCAAATGTGTATTGTCTCTTTGGAGTTTAATATTTTTTTACCACATGCACTAGTACAGAGTACTAGTATATAAAAAACAAAAACTAACCTGTACTGCTAATTTGACTCTCATTCTCAAAGTTGGCGTTAGATGAAGATGTTCATAAGTGATCCGAGGAAGAAGCCGCAAACCCATTCCATGGATATCGCCTTCCACTAGTGTTACTATCTGTGACCATTTTATAGGCTTCCCGTTCAACTGGAAAGAGAAAAAAGAATTAAACAATAGTGTGACATTAGCCCTCTACATATCATTGAATAAAGGTTCTCTAGTATATTCATTTTCTTATTGAAAGAACTGCAGGAGTGTTTAGAATATATAAAACCGATACATTTTACTTCAAAATGAAATATATTCGATTTTCTTTAGACGTTTTATTTGTATCTAATGGAATTAAGATGTGGTATGAGTGGCAATTAGACAACTCTCCATTCAAATCACAAGGTGTAAAAAGTAAACAATTAAAGGTCAAAGTACGGCCTTCAAGAGGGAGCCTAAGCTCGCGCAGAAAAGCCAAACATGTCACATTACTTACCATTAAATTTCTGGTTTTATTGTTCCATCCTGAGTTCTCGAAGTTATTTCGCGTTGTTTTCATTAGATGAGGGGCATCACAGATAAAGTATAGATTTATTTCGTCTCCATATTCATTGTTTGTAAAGTAGCATATATCTTGGTTTTGTCCATGAATCCTGTAGAATTTCCTGTTAGGAGTAGCACCGTCGCACACCAAAGCTCTAACAATTAAACCATATTTTTCTAAAATGCCAATGCCGTGCCAAATAATCCAAAATAACTGATTACTAGTGAATCCTTTGCAAGGGTAATGTGCAACAACACACTCGAGATTAGAAAATATGCCTCGTATCATTATTGTCATGATATGACTTGCAATGCCGGGCTCTGACGTATCTGATTCATTTATGCAAAAGTTCTGAATATCATTATTCACAGACCCCAAATCACAAAATCCAATCAGTCTGCCTGATTCAGAACAGTATACAAGTCCAGACTTCACTTTCACTTCATCAAACAGCAACGAAATATTCTGTTTCAGGGGGTCATCTAAGATGCTATAGTCCAGTAAAGCCCTGTCGATCACGTCAGTATTCCAGCCACTTCCTGTACTAGTAAACTTTGTATAATCCCGGAGTGTATTCTCATGTGGAAGTGTTAGTACGTTGCTTTTCTTAACCATTCTGTAAGCAGATGGAGATTTTGCATGCAAAGCTATGCACCACCTTAACAAAGTTGGATGCCATCTCATTTGCTTCAGATTTGACTTTGTTGCCGCTTCTAGTTGCTGTTTCCAAAGAATGTATTGTGGACTATTTTCTTTAAATTTTGATAACGCAATGACATTATTTTTTTTCATTATGCTTACAAAAGACTCTGAAATTCCAACGTCCAACTTCACTCCTAACTTGTCGCAGTATTTAGATAACTGTTCTTTTAGACTGTCCATTTTTCTTTTAAGACTTTTAATTTCATCCCTTGAGTTCAATACTCTCTCTTTCAACTGACCAGTTGTCATGTAATCAAGTCTATGCGTTAGCTTTGTTTCTGATGAATTGTTTTTCATTCTACTACGTTGCATGAAGAGGTTTGGCCGGAAAACTTGACAATTTGAACATCTTTCTTGCTGGCTATCACATAACATACCACAAGCAACTGTGCGTATTGTTGTTCCATGTGCTAAATTTTCTTCAGATGCTAATAATATATCTTCTGTGTTTCTAAATGTTGCTAGTGTGTTAGGATACCGATAACGACAAATATCAGAAAAGTCATTGTTTCCTGGGCAAATCTTCATGCATGTAATTTTCTTCATCAACTTTTCAACAATTGATGCATCATTGATACTTGTGCTATCTTCAAGAATATTTTCAAATTTAACAACTTTTTCTAAGACTATGATTCTGCAGTTCAGATCGGAGTCAATAAATATGCTAAAAAGCACTTTATCTTCCTGCAGTTTCATAAAACATCTTGAACCGTCTTGAATGTTAGAAACCCATCCTAATTCGTTTGCCAATGATTCAATACCTTGCCAAGTACTGTTTGTTTTCACTTGTGACTGGGACAAGCTGTCGTCTGATTCAATTGCCACTACCTCAATGTTGATTTTGGCTTCCTTTTTCTTATTAACGTTTTTTCTCCATCTTACTAATTTAAGCCGACAACTTTCACATATGAAATTTGACAAAAAATGAGGATCATTTTCAATTTCAATATTTAATGTTAGTTTAATGTCCCTTGCGTGCTTTGATTTTTCACAAGGCAAATGACGATGTGTGGTCTTCTTTTCTAATTTTCCACATAAACGGCAGTCAAATTCAAACTCCATTTCTGAAAGTTAAGAAGATAATTTTACAAATTGTATGTCTTAACATGGAAGTAGAATAAAAATTAACATACTACTTGCATGGCCTTATAAACAACCTTGTATTGAACAGTCTTCTATACATTATCATCTGATCAATTAAAACAACTTAAACCTTCAATTACTATACTCTTCTAATTTGTACACAAAATTTAAAATGACTCACTAAAAATAAAACTGCCGATAGAAATAGCGTCATGCTCTCTTTGTTTGATTGTTTTTCTCTTTCTTGTAATGTGTTAATGTTATCAAAACTTTTTTTTTAAATAGATATAAATTTTAATACGGTAGCACCGCTAACCATTTTAATTTCATGTTTAAATAAAGTATTTTATGACTTTTATTTCATGTAAGTCTAAATTATTTGAAAGTTAATATTTTTTTTAATGCTCGATAAACTTGGCACATTTCAACAGTAAAATATCATATGTCTACATCTGTCTACATTATTTTGTTATACATCATGTGAACCCTGACCGCATCATCATTATTACCTGTTTTTACTTGAGATCCGCTTTCAACCGGAAAATGCTTTTAAATCAATTTAAAACAAACAGTAAAAAGCCAAAATATGCAAAAATAATTACAACTTACCATGTTAAGCTGTTGTAGTTTATACAATTCTCGTCCGTTTTTCAAGTTTTTTTCACCATTCGATTTCTTTCTAAAGGTAGATGTTTTATGTGATACAGCGCTACCTTGTTATTAATAAACTAGGGATTTCCCACAGGTGCGCTATAATTACCGGACTCGATAAAACCACGTGACTGATAAGAAATTCCAGATGCCATTTTACAACCGCGGTATCACAGATAGTAACCAAAGGGGTCCTACCGCTGAGACTATAATTGGACAAAATCGTATGACTTTAGTACAGAGCTCTACATGCCATTAATACATGCTAATTAGTCGTTGTTATTCCTTTCAATATTACTTCCATGATTAGATAATACATACAAATAGCTATTGCTAAAGTAAATACATAGATATAAGATAATTTCACATCAATTAGACAATTGGCCTCAGGAAGTGGATACAATAAATCACATGCTATGATATCATTAGAATCATTATCAGACCATGGAAGTAATATTTAAAAGGAATAACAACGACTAATTAGCATGTATATATGGCCTGCAGAGCTCTGTACTATAGTCATATGATTTTATCCAATTATAGTCTCAGCGGCAAGACCCCTTTGG